GTCTATTTGTTTTCCTGAGAAACTATTTTGTAGATAATAATATGTAAAACGATAACCATTGATAATTTCCTACCATTTTGTCTGTAATTTGCTAAGTCCCCCCTATTATTATGTTATCCTTCTTTTACTCTTTAAAATAAAAAAAAAGAAAAAGAAAATGGCTGTTATTTCTATCTTGGACACGGGTATGGAAATAACAACTGTAACGCCGTGTAGTGAGAATCTAATAGGATTGCATGCAGTCCAGAAGAGAACAGAGGACAGGAACCAACTGCAGGAGGGCCAGGAGGGCACAGAACAATGGCAGGAGGTGGTATGTGGACAGTCTGGGGGTCGCAGGCTCGCTGAGGCTGGAAAGTCCAGGCATTCCAAGCAGACTGTAGGGTATAACAGCACAGGAGTGCCTAAAGGCAAAGATTTTCACAAAATTAAAGTACTTTACTGTGGCTGAAATGGGGAGTTAACTGTGAAAAGAAAGAGTCCAGTGAGACGGACAGAGACCGTGCCACACAACACTGTGTATGCCACGTAATGAGCACTGGATGCGAAGTTACTATCCAGGACGGAATACGGGGTCACTGCTAGGTGTTAAGTGAGAAGCAAAGATGTCAGAGCATAACTATTTTAGAAAGACCACCATCAGTACAGAAGAAGAATTAAAGGTTCGGGAAAATGACTAGGGTTGCAGGAGAGAATAAGTCTGAGTTAAGGCAATGGTAAAGGAGCAGGTTAAAAAAGGATTAATTCTGTAAGACTTGATAATTTGGTATGTTTAAAATGGGAAAAGAGTCAAAGATGAGTTCCAGGTTTCTGGCGAGAATAAATAGGTAGCTGGCAGTGTCGTTCATCAGGGAATACAAAAGGGAATCCCACACCTGGGAAAGATGGAGTAAAAGAGACCAGAATAAACAACAGGCAAAGTACTGTACATGAAACAATAATTTTCAAAACCCTGGACACTAGAGAACAAAAGCAACTACCTCTGCAAATCAGAAAACAGAAGAAGCCCTGTAAGTTCCCAAACCTTCCACCTTGAGACTGTTCCCTGGCCATAGCACAGGGAGGATGAGCCCAAGTGAAGCTCAAAGCATGCTATGAAATGAGACGACCAAGGACGTCGGAAGTTACGGTACCCTGGAGGAGGCTGCTGCGCGGAGAGATGCCCAGAGATCCACAGGGAGCTCTCTTGAATATTCAGTAGCAAATTAATGAGTATGCACGCAGGAGACTAGCAAAGGCTAGGAAAACAGCCAGCAGAAATGGTGCCATCATCCCACAGAGCTCTTCCCACCAGGCAGATTAGAGAACTGGCAACTCCCAGGGCATGGAGGACAGTACTCAGGAAGGTCTTGCCGGGGGTACTAAGGAAAAATTAACCCTAAAGTGAGAATTATTCCTCATCCACCTAATAAAGCACGAAGGCAAACTCTTAAAGGATCAAACTATTTCCTATTTAGCTGCACTCCAGAGCAAAGCTGAAGAATATTTATAGGAATACAAAAATACTCAGTAATCAACAAGGTAAAATTTACAATGCTAGCAATCGAATATTATAAACATATCAAAGTAAGAAAATATATCATAGAATGTGGGAAATATCAATTATTTAAGATCCATCCAAAACTGACACAGATGTTAAAATTATCAGAGATAACTAAAACAATTATAACTATAGCTCATGTGTTTAATACATTCAATAGATTCTGGAAGAACTGAATATTTACATGCAAAAGAAAGAAGACACCATGCCATGTACAAAAATGAAAAATGAGGGGCTGGGGATTTAGCTCAGCGGCACAGCGCCTGCCTGGCAAGCACAAGGTTGTGAGTTCGATTCCTGATACGGCGGGGGGGGGGATTAAAAACGAATCACAGAACTAGACATAAGAGCAAAAAAACTCTTAGAAGAAAACGAAGAAATCTTTCTGACCTTGAATTAGGCAATGTTTTGTTAGCTCTAAAGCCAAAAGTATAAACAACAAAAGAAAAGTAAACTTGAATTCATCAAGGCATAAATATCCTTTATACTTCAAAAGATATCATGAAGAAAGTGAAAAAAGAACT